GTGGAGGTTAATGAAACCTTCAATAATTATGTGCATTCTGGCATTTTAAAAGAATGCTACACGATATTTTCAAATTTTATAACTTCGTGGAGGGCTTTGACCCCCAAAAATATTTATAATTTTAAAGTTTTTGTAAATTTTCTACAAAACCACGCTCTCATCTCTCTCAATCTTTTTATTCTCCAGTATCTGCTAAACCATTTTCACTGCATCTATTTAGTACATGAGGAAGCCAAAATCGATTGCATTAACGCCTCAAGCTCATTGTCTTTCTTGGATTTTTAGGATTTTCCTATTCCCTCTCCCTTCACTAACCATCTCTAGGGTTTCGCTTCGTCGAGCAACGTGAACGGTTTCTCATCTCTCCAAGGTATGTGACTTTTCTTCTTTCAAACTCCGATGGTGGTGCAACGATGTTTATTAGTTGCAGGATTGCTTGGGCAGTAGCGAATTTCAGAATTAGGATGTTGGAGATTGAGTTGTTGCGCTCGTCAAATTGGATTGGGGAAATTGGAGAATGATTTCAATTTATCCTTTGTTTTAGAACATATGGGTTTTAGTTTGTAGAAATTGGAGAATTAGGAAAAATTCCTTGTGGCAATTTAAGTGAAACTTCCTCTCTACTTTTTTCTCTAGTAGGAGGGTATAATGTCCTCTATTTCTGTTTGACTTCTTCATTACTCATGCACATACTTTACATTATTGATTGGGGCGATATAACCAATGAGAATGGCAAATTCTATTGTGCAAGAGCACCAGTTCGTTGCATGCTGCAGCAACATGCATGACATATTTCGTGCCTCAAATGTTGATCTCAATCAAATACAAAATTTTTGTTGGCATGTAATTGTAAATTTTGTCAGATTCTGATTCAATTTAATGATCTTAAAACTTTATTTGAGGGTAACTTATTCAACAATTAGAATATCTGTTTTAAACTGAATTTGAAATTTGTGGTACTGTTGGCGCTGCACCCATGATTTATGTAGTGTTTTTGTAATGCGACCTTTAAATTTTTACCTTTAAATATTACGAGAGGTCAGCTCTGAGCTTGCTGCTGTGGCAAAAGATACCGATTTGGTGGGAGAATCATTCTGTTTATTTTATAAAATTACTGTGGATTTGAGAAAATCCAAGACAAGCATATTCTAATTAAGCTTTCTTTGTTTGGCAGATAATTTTGGAAGGGATGGGTAGAGCTCTTCATACCAACCTTAATGCTCAGTTTCATTGTGATGCTTTGAAAGTAAGGTTACTTGGTTTATGCTATGCAGATATTGTTGTGTTTCAGTGTGTAGTTACTATATCATTGTGTTTCAGTGTATATTCACTGATCTAACTTGGAAAGAATAATAATTTTATTAAACATTAACCTGCTGCCACTGTAATACAAATTAGAAAATCAGGTATTCACGGCAATGGTAAGTTTGTAGCATAAACATAGTTAGCAAAAACGAACCAGAGTGGTTATAGGCATAAAATCCTAAAAAAAAAGTAAAATAAATTGTATTGATGCTTTTCGTTTTCTTTTTTCTTTTAAGGTAACACAAGTAAAGCTAGTGGCAAACTATTAATAATGGTTAATAAAATAATTAAGCTATTTGGTTTTTTGTATATGGAATAAAAGATTCTAATGTATTTGATATCTTTCGGCGGATATGAAATTTAGCAATTATTAACTGGTGAATGTCACACACCCCTATAGAGCTGTTGTAATGTGAATTGCTTTTAGTTTCTAGTCCTACTTAGCATTCGCTATGCATAAATCAATTTGTATTCTGTAGCGGGAATCTTGATTTGCTTTCAATTAATTAATCTGTTTTTGGCATACATTTAGTTTTCTTGTTTCCTGTTTTAGCACTAAAGCTTATGCATTTTGAGTTACTTACTGTGATCTTTCAATTTGTATTTTGAATCATCCAGTGACAGGTGCAGCAGTAACACCCCCAACTTCAGTTGGTGGTGACTTCGCAGTTGGGCTCGAACAACTTTCTTCAATGTCTAAGGATCAGAATGTTTCTGCTTTACAACAATACGCGGGGGGGGGGGGGGGGCAAGTCTACAATATATTTTGGGGTTGCTTACACAGATGTAGTCTGAAAGATGGAACACTCAACTGGGAAATGTTGCAGTTCAAGTCCAAATTTTCTTGTCAAGTTTTGCTCGACAGAGTATGTTATATTTTAGTTAGAAGGAAACACTGTTGCCAATTCTCAATTAGGCACACTAAAGTTAACTCCCCATTTCTACCCTTCATGGAGTAAATTCTTATTCATTTTTTAATATATATATATATATATATATATATGTGTGTGTGTGTGTGTGTGTGCCTAGGTTGGGGAATTCTATGAAGCTATTGGAATAGATGCGTGTATTCTTGTCTGTGCAATAATAAACATGTACAAATGCCATTCTATGAATAATGCTTGTGTTTGGATTGCTTTTCTAGGTTGAGCTTTTGTTAATGGTTTCTGAAAGCTTCATTAATATTTTGAGGGTTCATGTTTGTTGATGTCATAATTATTTCAAATTTATTTTTTAATTTGAATATTCACTGTTTGGTTTTATTTAAATTCTGAGATTAAATTTGTTTTAACTATTTATCGAGTAATCCAAGGCCAAGTTTATTGATATCATAATTATTTTAAATTTATTTTTTATTTTAAATTCATTTTTTCTTATTTTACAGAAAAATTGATTTTTTTTTTAAATTTTCAACAAATTTGTGGGGGTCTTAAACCTCCAGAAACTGAATCATTTGTGGGGGTCTAGAGCCTCCAAAAAATATTTTAACAAATTGTGGCATTGCACATAAAACCTCCACAAAATATGTTGTGGCGTAGGTAAAACTGGGGGTTGTTGAAGATGCCACAAATATACTTTGTGGAGGTCAAAGACCCCCACAATATGAAAATATGACCCCCCACAAAATGCCTGAATTTTTGTAATGTTGGGATAAGATTGTATAGATTAATTTGTTATTCTTTTGTTTGTTAGCTGATATGAGTTGTTAGCTAATATTCTTGATAAGTGTAAATCTTTTGTATTATTTTTAGGATAGTTTAAATATTCTGATAAGATTTTAGTTAGGTTGTTTTGGTTTTCCTTTGTATCATGGCTTTATTTCAACAAGCCTTTAGCTGTTCAATAAATCAAGTCACATATTTCAAATATTCTTGTTAAGTCCAAGAACACTCCCTTGATCCGTTTTAGAAATTATTCATTCTTTGTTTGATTATGAGCAATTACATTGGTGAAAATCTCTAGCTATATAATAGTTAGATTTAAATTTAGTAATGAAAATTAGATTTACCATTTGCTCTTCTCTCTCTTCTTGGAGAGTTTAAAAATTTGACTATTCTAATAAGGAGAGGATCCGTTTACAAATTTTTTTTACAAATTATATAAAGTCTGACCAGTCATACACTCTTGATCGAAATATGACCGAACAAACATAATTTAATTTGTAAAAATTTATAAACAAAAAATTTATAAATATAATATTATCTTACTATTAATTATCATTGTGACTTCTAAATAATAAAGAAGTGCTTTCTTTCTAAACTTTTAGCCAGTGGGATGAGGCACTTTAACCACGCTCCACTCTATTCTCTTTTAAATGGTCAATCATAGTCTAAGAGCATTCATTGAGTTTTACTACATAGTATTCTGAAGACATTATTAGTCAAAGAACATTTAATATCTTTTATTAAAATCTTTTAATTACTTAAATAATAAGAATTAGATTATATTGATAAAATTTTTTTTACAAACAACACTATATTAACCGGTAATACTTTACTCAAAAATATCTTACCGGTCAACAGACATAGTATAATTTATATATAAAAAATTTGTAAATATAATCTTCCCACAAAAATAAATATCAAACGTCTTTGTGTTCTTAATTCAATAAATGCTTATTTTGTTCCTGGATAGCGTTTGGTAGAGGAGAGAATTTTTTTTAGTCGGAAATTTTAATTTTCAAAAATATGATTTGTACATTCAATTTGTGATAATATCCATAAATTTAAAATTTAGAAAAATTCAGTTTCTCAAAAATTCTTCATTTTACCGCGTACCAAACAGCCCCAAATTAAGTGAATTATTCAAGGGGTTAAGTTGTCTTAGCATTTTTTTCTCTTTCATCCATTGAACTTGCATCCAAAATTTTACTACAGGAATGAGTTTTTTACCCCTCAAAACAATAATGTTGGTGGAACATTTATTACACTCCCCAACTATTAAATAAAAAATAAATATTCATATAAGGGAAACACACACACACAAAAATTAATATAGACTCCGCAACTTACCTAACCATGAATCATATATTTTTTATACTGGCCGGCTTTAATTATCTTTTTAAGAGGACTGAATCTTTCAAATATTTTTACAAACTTCAACTTTTTACGTGGAAATCAAATTCAAATTTTCTCTCAATTTACTCCGGTCGTGTTGCCACACCAATTCGGTTTGAGCAAAATCATTTCAGTTAATAATATTTTATAAGGGTTATATCTATCTACTTTTACATAAGATAACTACATTTCCTACACATAAAAGTTAGGTGGGTCCCATTTCTTTTTTTTTCTCTCCTTTTATCTATGGATTCCACTTGCAATCTTGTTTCTACAACATAAGATAAACATTTTTCTACGACATAAGAAAATTATTTTCAATTTTATAATTATCATTTTCTAATATTTTATTTTATTTAGAATTTCATTCGCCAGCTAAAAAATAATTGCCGTAGATGTCGCCAATTCATTTGTAGTAATGATGCCAGCCCATAGAGGGGTGTGTGTCCCCACTCCATCACGCATCCCGTGATTTATGCTACTGAGAGTGGCGCGTGTCCATCACTCTCTCTTCCACCATCTTAATACTACTACTAGTTAGTGTTAGTCACTTTACCTTGTTCTCATTTTCTCATTTTTTTTCTCTTCACTCTCTCTTTTAACACTCTCTTCTTCAATCTTCAACCCAAAACAAAAACAATGGCATCCTCGTCCAACATCCTCAACAACATGTTCTTGTTCACAACACTATCATTATTATTCTTCTTTAGAACATCATATGCAAAACTCACCTTAGATTACTACAAGGACACGTGTCCACAGTTCAGCACCATCATCCAAGACACCGTCACAAACAAGCAGATCGCGAGCCCAACCACCGCCGCCGCCACCATCCGCCTCTTCCTCCACGACTGCCTCCTCCCCAACGGCTGCGACGCCTCCATCCTCCTCTCCTCAACACCCTTCAACAAGGCGGAGCGCGACGCCGACATCAACCTCTCCCTCCCCGGCGACGCCTTCGACCTCGTCGTTAGAGCCAAAACCGCCCTCGAACTCGCTTGTCCCAACACCGTCTCTTGCGCCGACATCATCTCCGCCGCCACACGCGACCTCCTCACCATGCTCGGCGGCCCTTACTATTCCGTCTTCCTCGGCCGCCGCGACGGCCGCGTTTCCCTTTCCTCCGCCGTCGACGGCCACCTCCCTAAACCCGCGATGCCCATGTCTCAGATCGTCGAGATCTTCACCAAACGTGGCTTCTCCGTCGAGGAAATGGTGGCTCTCAGTGGCGCACACACCGTTGGGTTCTCTCATTGCACTGAATTCACCTCCGACATTTACAACAACACTTCCTCTTCTTCTTCTTCTTCTCAATACAACCCTCGTTTTGTTGAAGGGTTGCGAAAGGCTTGTGCTGATTACCAAAAGAACCCAACTTTGTCGGTTTTCAATGATATTATGACACCCAACAAGTTCGATAATGTTTACTTCCAGAACCTTCCAAAGGGTTTGGGGGTTTTGAAATCGGATCATGGGTTGTTTAGTGACCCCACAACGAAACCCTTTGTGGAAAATTTCGCTGCGGATCAGAACAGGTTCTTTATGGTGTTCTCTCAGGCAATGCGGAAGCTTAGTCTTTTGGGAGTGCAGACTGGGAGGAAAGGAGAGATCAGACGAAGGTGTGATCAGATTAATTGATGGGGTTTCAGAAATTTGTGATTTTTTGTTTTTGGGGTTATAAAAATTTTCATTCTTTTCTCTTGTTGTCATAATCTGATATAAGTAAGATTTATAATTATACCTCTTGTCTCTGCATGAATTTTATGTTCTTAAGATCAATTATACATACATGGTTTTATTATGTGAGTTATTAGTAATGGGGGCATTGGCCTTTTGTATTGTTATCGGAATAGATGAGTAGAGTCTCATTTTCGAGTGTTATATTGTAAAATTTAATAAAAGCTCTAATTTTTCTGTTATGCCTTTTTTTTTTAAAGGATATTAGAAGCTGGTGCTTGTGTTGATTTCGGTGAGCATTTGATTGATGATAGATTACAGATAGAATTGTTAAGTTAGATCTTGTAATAAACTAATGACAATGTGAATGCGCGTGATCAAGTTATGGTCTGTGGTTAAATAATGAAAAAAAAAAAATAACAAGGGAGGAGAATTTACCAAGACAATATTAAAATGCAGGAGATGCCTTTTGATTTTGAAAAAATACATTTTGTCTCTTCTGGGTGTCTTGGAAGCAGCTGGTTTCAAGGCAAATGCATGTGCATACCCCTATTTTATTATGAACATGCAGTTGTCGCAATGTTGTTTTGTTAGGCCCCATGCTCTTAAACGAAAATTGAAAGGAGGCGGATATAATGCAGGGTAAGGTGATTTAATGTTTTTTTTAATTTTATTTAGGGTTTAATCATGATGTGGTGTTACTTAAATACTTTGTTTTGACTTATGATTTGGTATTTGACTATTTGTTCGATTCGGCACAACTGCTAAAAATTGAAAAACTTGAACTGAAACATGCTTTGTGTCATATGATGAAGGTTATAGTTGATACCAACCAGGCTGGATAAACTCATGATAATCGTTAACGTGGGACCTGGTACGATGGTATCTTTTGCAAACTCCACGGGCAGGTTGCTATCAATTCTAAGGACTTTTGACATCTTTATTGACTATTATGACCACAAAGAAAAACTTTTTTTTATTGTTAATGCCGAAGCATCTTTGTGATGTGGCTTGATTTTGATACAAGGGAAGATTAGTCGACATAGTAAGTAAGCTCTTCGATCTAGCGGGAAAAAAATGAAGGTTTGAATTTTAGGAAAGTGATTATTGTAGAGTATTGTAAATCTTCATATTTATACAATCAAATAAAAGATAGTTTCACGAACGGTTCAAAATAAGCTAAACTTTTAAAGCTGAACTCATAAATTTACAAATCTAATTTGGGGTCTCAATTAAGTTTTTTTTTTTTGGTTTAAAAAATGATATGAAAAACATCTATCCTTTTAAAGGATATAAGTTTATATCCTTTTAGATCCTAATTATTGATTTTCGTCCATCAACGGTTACAATTTATTAGGTCAAATTTATTATTAATTAATTAATAATTTTACTTCAATAAATTATAACCGTTGATGGACGGAAATCAACGGTTAGGATCTAAAAGGATGTAAACTTATATCCTTTAAAAGGATAGATATTATTTCCATATATATATATATATATATATATATATATATTTTGTTACATTAAAAAATGATATTGATTCACGCGGTTTGGTTTGGGTTCCAGATTATCAGGCTGTGCGTCTCCTCTCTCAAAATAAAATAAATGAAATCTTACAAATGCTGTTAAAGTGAGATTTTTCTTCTCCTAAAACATTTAAAGATTATTTTTAAAAAACTATTTAACACCCAACTGTCCTTTTTTATTTCATTTATTGGGGGGTGTTACGAACTGCCGCTTGGTTGTTATTATAAAGTTCATGACCCCAAAAAATAATGCAATTTTCCTCTTTTTTGGTGAAGTGAATCACTGAGTTGTTTTAATTACATTATTTCTTATCTGTTTATTTTAAAAGCAAGGTGGCCCATTTTACTAGGAAGATATGAGATGTATATATATAATAATATTTTGGGGCGGTATGCCACGATTAATTCTTAGCTTGTGTGCAATATTACTATTAAGTTGGGTAAAGTAATTTGTTTATTTTTCCTGGAGTGAATATCAATTGGTTGGTCTGCGGGCGAAACCTCAAAGCTATATTTGCACAGAATTTGATGCTGCTTAGTTACTCTTATCAGTCCATCCTTAGTTTGTGTGATCTGTTTGCGCAATGAGAAAATTTGACAACGTTAACGTAAGGTAGAAAAATGTGTTAACTTTCCTTAAGGAGAGAACATGGAAGGAATACGTGCTAGATTTCAGTAGATTTTTTATTTTAGGTGTATTATGATATTCGCTTGTTAAGAGTAGTTCAACTCATTGTTATTAAAACTGGACCGGACTAGCCGGTCCAATCGATTGATGGGTTAATGGATCGGTTCTACAATTGAAATTATATCAATGGGTTGATGGACACTCTAGCACTTACTAGTAGGTTACAATCATTTGTGTGGTGATATAAAGAGATACATCGTGAAAAAGAGAGAGCGAACAAAAAAAATAAAGATGTGAATCTCATTTTTTTGTAAGAGTAAAATGATAAAGTTATATCATTTAAAAAGACAAACACATTTCTCATTTATTATATAATTTAATATAGGGTTTGGCGTTTGTCATTTTGAATGACATAACTTATGTCATTTTAGAAGAGAGATAGACACAGAAAAACAGAAATCACGAGAGAGAGAAAGTGAGTGATTTTTTTTAATTTAAAATTTTAATTTTCTGTGTCTGTATCTCTATTTAAATGACATAACTTTCTGTGATTTGAAATGACAAACACTTTTTCCTTTAATATAAATTCATATTAACTGGTTGAAACAATAACCGAGCGGTTAAATCATTAATCCATTGACCTACAATTTCGATCTGAATCGAATTTAATAACATTGATTCTATTTCAAAATAAGTGATGTGATTCTTTTATTCGTTTAGCATCAGTTGATCAATTCTAGAGTTTCTTTTCTTTTCTTTTCCTTTCTTCTTTAAACATAACATCGTAAATGTTTGAACATATAATCACTTTTTGAACTATCCAAATCCCTTATTATTAACTTATCATTGAATTACTTTAATTGTTACCATTAGTATCTTCAAAAAAAAAATCTTGAAATTACTTATATTGAATCAAATGATTCGGCTTTAAAATTAAAACTGGGGTGCTCATGCCTGATTGTGTATATATTTGACATGTCTTATTTTTAATTTCTTTTCTCCTTATAAGGGTGTCAAATATATTTTTTCAAAAGTTCTTATGAGATGGTTATATTTATCACCATTTTGCGTTTACCACTTTTATTATCTATTTAGTTATCATTAGATCAACTTGAAATCAACGGTTAAAAAAGAAAAAAAATTAACTGTCGTTAATTTTAAGTTGATCCAACGATAATCAAATAGGTAGTAAGAGTGATAAGACTAAAATAATAGTAAGTATAACATTTCCCAAGTTCTTATTATAATTTTTATAATGAATAAAAAAAATTAAAAGCTCCCACGATAATTTTTTTTAAGGTGTATGTTATCTTTTTAGAGTTTTTATATTTATTTTTCAGTTTTATCCTTATTCTAAACTTGTATTTACAAATTTTACTCTTTATCTTAATAATTTATCCTAATAACAAATCAATTCATATCAACTCTTTTAAAATCTCGAGAATAATTTTATATAATCACTAAATAACTTTTAATTTTATTTTATTTATTTTTTTATTTTTTCTTAAAAGTAACTCTTAACTTAAAAAAACGTGTTAAACGAGCTCCTAGCTAAGTTTAACATAATCAAATACCAAATAATGACCAAATCCGGATGGAAATGACATGAGATTAAAATAAATGTACAAAATTTAAAACACTATACATAATTTATAAGGAGCAAGCTAAAAGAGATGCTTTAGAATTTATATTTTTAAAACAACTATATCAATATAAAAAATATTATTACGTTCCATAACAAAATATCATGTAAATGAAGGGAAAAAAGATTAAAATATTACTATTTTAATAAATAATTACGAATAAGTTACTGTTTCGAACCTATATACAAATCTATTGCACTCATTCACGCCCAGATTAGGCATGACTATTCACGCCTAAGTTGGGCGTGACTCGTCTGGTGTTGACACGTGGCACAAAAAATTAATAGTTTAACCGTAAAACTTTATAAGGCCATAACTTTTGACTCGTTGTATCCGAATGGGGTAATTCTTTTTTTGATTCCACTTAACCTTTTGAGATCTACGCAATGACATCTCATTTGATATATTTTATCTCTCACAAACACAATTCAAATTTGCAACAATGATATTATAAAGATGGCACTAAAGTGGATTAACTCATCTATAAATAAGGATACTTAATATCATATTAAATGTTTCAAAAAAAATAGTGTACAAGGTTATTTATTTAATTATTAAAATATATACAAATTTATATAATATTCTACCAAGTGTTTAGAATATTTATTTAATTATTTTATTTATTAATACAGATTTTTTAAATTGATTTTTGAGTTTAAATCACAAATTAAATCTTTATTTTGTTTTTCTTATTAATAATAATTTTTTAAATTTTTTTGGTAATACACTATATAATACAATTATTGTAAATTTAAATTGTGTTTGTGAGAGATAAAATATATCAAATGAGATGTCATTGCGTAAATTTTAAAAAGTTATGTGGAATCAAAAAAAAAATTACCTCGTTCGGATACCCGAGTCAAAAGTTATGGCTTTCTAAAGTTTTACCATTCGTAAGTTGACTTTTTTTACCATGTGTCAACACCAGATGATTCATGCCTAAATTAGGCGTGAATGCCTTGAGTGTCACACCTAATTTGGACGTGAATAGTTACGACTAATTTAAGCGTGAATAAGTGCAATAGATCCGTAAATAGTTTCGAAACAACTATGTATTCATAATTATTTATTAAAATAATAATATTTTATTTTTTTTGCGAGTAAATGAATTATAAACTTTTAATTTATGTAAATTGAGCTGAATTGGGTCAATCCAAAGCA